GAATATTGCTGGTTCAGACTGACCGAACGCAATGCAAAGCAGGCCAACTTGTTCAATCCCATACTGGACTTCATCTCCGTTTATTTGATGCAGCTAAGATAGTCCTGAACTACCATCCCACAGTATTGTTCATGAGATACCTGCAAATTGTTTTCTGCAAGCTCGTAAACGCTCGCTAATTTAAGATGCTAATGAATAACCTTGCATTTTTCTGTTTTACACTGTCTTAGGCTCCTCGTCGACCACTCATGAACGAAATACAGTTCATGTCGGTAGAACTCGTAATCCATAATATTATTTTCCTATCAAATCTGAACGTTAGCTGCGAGTGACAAAAAGTTAGAGGTCAAAGCAATTGTAATATTATTGAGCAACTTCAGGGATATGCGCGGTTTCATCTCGAGCCCTGTGGAACACCACATGCCATCTCAATTGAGTTGAACCGTAAGCATTAAAAGGATTATTTGTATCCATTAACCAAGAAGTCTGCTAAATCACCCAGGAACAAGATTCCCTATTACATAGCTGTATAGCCATTGAGGTAGGATGCGATGATTTAGGTGGTAGAAAGTTTTGGAAATATCAAGGTAATTGACTTCCATCCCGGCCCCACGATCCCCGGTTCAAGCCCGACTACCACGTGTGAAGTGTACGTTGGCAGTGTATGACCCGTGTTCGCGGATAACATGCGGCTCTGGTGTCAGAATGTTGAATTTTCTGGACCGTCCTCTCAAGTCTTGCCATGGAACTTCTATCGCCTTCCAGAGCACAACGAGAGGAGTCGAAGGCTAATCGTTTACAGGGTCGGCACGGCAGTCGCTTTTAAAAATTATGGTAATCACGCCATGCTTTCACTTGATGATCATCGAAACATATTTGAAAGCACTGTGGCAACTGTTCTGCTCTCTTAGTGGCTGTGGACTTTCGTGCTTTCGAGCGAAAGTTTTCTTATCCCGAACAGCAATGAGCGTGCAATAACATCAAAGTCATTATCAAATTTGCTGGTCTGAAGTTTAAATATGCAAGCCCTGGAGTTAGTATAGTAGATGACTGTTTTTGATCAAGGCAGACTGCGAGTTAAATAATCCGTTAGTACTTTAGTCGCTTGGCATGGGCCGTGTTTTCGTCGCGTTTTACACTTGCAATTCTTGTGAAAAGTAGAAGGATACCATGCGTTACATTACGGAGGCTCTGGATATGCCTCTACAGTAGTTCGACTATCAGAAAAGTGTTTGTTAGGCGTCGCTGATATGTCTCTTGGTGTTGACAAACGAGAGTGGTACAATGGTTGTGGTGGGTCTGCAATTGGCCTAAAGAATCTGGGTCGGTGTTTAGCTCTGCAGACATAACACACTGCATCTACTTTGCCATGCATTTTCTAGTTCTGGTTCTACGAATTGCAGGCACATTAACAAGACAAATACCTTGGTTTTCGATGATTTGTTGACCAGATGGCTAAATCTTTCAACGAAATTGAGAAAAGTTAACAAGGGTGTGTTGTTCAAGAATCATTGATATATGTTAGGACGTGATACCTTGAATTGTTTGAGCTTATTCCGTATGTTTCAGACGTCTCGGTGACAAAATTCTTGCGTGTTGCACAAATTTTAATGGCATACGGTTAATTTATATTTTGCTCCCCCCTACAAACTTAACATGCTTTTAACACACGACTTCACACAAACTACTGAACGGTTGGATTGACTAAGCCAGTCGCGTGGAAACAAGTGTGGACCTGTAGCTAAGACCTTCATACATGCGCCGATATCCACAGATGAGGCGTTCTTTGGCTGCTAGCATATAGCAAAAGCAGTACAATTAGGTTTGGGAGATAGTAGTACTCTGCACAGCAGACATGTTTACATGTTATGAGGACATAATCGCTGGAAATTAATTAATTGGTTATTAATAACTTTTCGATTATGAGCAATACGTTTCCTAATAAAAGATCCAATATGGACCGTTTGTTTGCTAGTCTGAATATAATGAGCGAAGTAAGATAATCGTTTGAGAACATGTAAGCGCTAACGTCGTGCAAAAGTGCATTGAAAAGTTGTTTTGGTGGTACCGCGAACTTCAGGTCTTGTAGCTTGAAGTCACCGACTATGAAAAATTGGCTGTACCTTGGACGTTTTGCCCTGCGCTAGGCTAGTACGAAGTGGAAATCTATTTCTGGAATCGACTTTTGGAGGCAGAACAACAGGCACCAGTCATTCGTCATTGCACCGTGGTCGGAGATGGTATCGGCGCGAATCTGGGATGTGCTTTTCCAAAAAACAACTATTGCGCATTGCAGATAACTGCAAAAATACATACGAACCAAACTTCCCTAACTATAATCCATAAGGTCGCCCACATCTTGGTGTAACTAGTTTCCGGCGATAGAAATCAGGTCCTAAGCACACCCATCCGGACGTGCTCAAAGTTTGGCATATTTACTAAGGAGAATTGGGCGTACACATGGTGTACCATATACGTTGTTTTATATAACGGCCCGATATTTATCAGCGACGAGTTCGGACAATGCATGCTTCAAAGTGGAATCAAGCAATTTCGCTCTGCACCATAAAACAATTCGTCCAATTGTCTGACAGAGAGAGCGGTTGCGACGATCAAAAAGGGTGTGGCCAAACAACTTTCTTGAACTTTCCAAGCTCACGTGGACAAAATTCCTATTACAATATCGGATTACGCCACACACTACCACGGATCATCCACCTCGTGACCACTTGCTGGGACGACGTCTACGCACTCGTTTTTATCTGATTAAAACTAATCTGCATCGGAAGGTCGTCTGTGATGAAGCAATGCTACGACATGAAAACGAAGGAACGTGTGGTTGAGGCAAGTGACAGAGTGTATGTTAAACAGAGGCCAACGGATAGAATTTAGATAGGAGAAATTACTAAATCGACAAGAGGTAGTTTAGTGGAAGCGGAGGTGGAAGTTGGGCGAATATTTCAACGTCACTTGGACCAAGTGCCACGGTAGACTGTGAGGTCTACAGAAGTAAAAGAAAATAGCCCCATCGCTGCACCACGGAGAATAGCGTCAGAAGCATTACAAAATGAATTTCACGATGAGCAACCTATAGTTATAGCGATCAATTCGTGAGAAGCACAGCGTAAAACTTAATCAAACTGAATACAATCTGGTCGCAAAGGACTGTTGTGATTGGTTATCACGAACCACTTCCTCTCTAGTCATGCGCGTGACTCATGTGTGTGAATAATTGCATAGCTTTTAAACGAACCAGGGACTTTGTCGTGTGTACACATTACAGCTGTGCTCTTTGCGTTTCTGTGTTCTTACTTACAACAGTTCCAAATTTAGCCGTCAGTGTTAGCAGCAAGGGAACTCCACATAGTTCCTTATTTCCGATTCAGTGGGGTGCTTGCTTCTTTATCTTGGTCCTACTATTCCGAATCCATAACCCAACTTTTACTCTTCTCAGTCTACTTTCCTTCTATGTATCAGTATAGGGATTGGTCTCAGCCATGCTTGCAATTACTCCGAAAAACTCTGAACCTCATTCGCAGAACGGTAGCTAATTATGGTAATGAACATTGGTTGCATTTATGTGCCATTGGTTTTGTTTTGTTTACCATGGTACTAAACTTCCTCATCCTGATTTTGGAATCGCTTATTAGAGAGGCTTTGGTGGAACAACCTGCCACGCCTACCCTAGCTGTAAAGATTTTGATGGCCACTATTCTTCTAAATTGCTTTGGTTAACTGTATTCTAGTAAAGCCAAAAAGAATAGCATGTGCTGTCACGAAATCTCGCCTCGCTACGTTTCAGAATGCCGCAGCTTGTATGTAACATGTTAGCACAGCTAGAATAATGAATAATAATATGGAAACTTTGGCGCATACGGCACCTAAGTCATTAGCTCGCGGTACACTTGGGGTTGCGCTCACCGAATGAATGTCATGACTCATTCCATTGAGTCATCGTTTATGCTTATCAGTAGTGCTTTTTCCCCGATGTTGAGGACAAGTTTACAAGGCTCACATCGCCCCGATGTACTTGTAAATTGCGACATCTATTTAGTCCTAGTTCCTGGCGTTGTTTTAACGTCGTAACTTGATACTATCAATGGATAGCTAAACAAAACCTTGATAACATACCTTGATATGATTCAATTGCGTATCAACCTAAGGCGGCCTAAAGTACATCCACAACTCGGATCATGTTATGGAAGTAGCAGTTTATCTACGTCGGCATTATTAAGGTTATCCTGATTACACACAGGCTAAACGTCTGTCGTCATTATGCTCAAGTCACTGGCAATTTCATGCACGCAAACAACACTCAGTCTGCTCCTTTACAGTTAAAGCATCCACAAACTTGCAGGCTATACTGACCTACATGGGCCAAGTTTTAGCCAGGTAGCAAGGTAACGCTGTGCCTAAGGAACAGTTCACATGCATCATTTACTGCCGTAATAATATCGGAAGCTTTTTGCCATTGACCAAATAGTTTACAAGTAAAAACAATAGGGGTACTATGTATCCAATACATAACGAAGATCGGTTTACAAGGTGAATGTGATTCCTTTGGTAGAAGTGCAGTGCTATTTATGACAGTAAACAGAGTTATGTTACGAATAGCGCTCAAGCAAAATTATCACATATTCATTACGGCTAGACCTAGACGTAGCCTTATCGGTGCATAAGTGCTACATATACACTATATTTTTATTAAGTTATTACAAACCTATCGTCTTAACAAATACGTATTGTGGCCTAATTCGTTCACATATTGACATCCTCACACATAATTGTGTTACGGCGAATTCCAGAAGCAGTCGCTTCCCTTAACATAGTATTGATCGTAGCTCTGGTTTCGCACAAATTGTCAATACATATATATCTAGCAATAAGTACCGTTTCGTTCATCGAAGTTAAAAAATAATTTGAAACTGGCCAGATTATTATTAACGTAATCAAACAATTACCAGTAAATATCTAGTTTAGAAACTAATTAATTGCTGGGTATGCGCATGTTGTCAGGTTTCATACAATCTGTTAACAACGCAATTTTTTATCCAACATTCCCTAACATCAGTTTTGTCTCTGTTCCAGACACAGATCCGATTGAAATCACAAGTAAGTTAACTTCTTATAATACTTTCTAGCATCGTCAAATAATACCAAATTGCTGTTTTCATTTTTCGTTATAGTAAACTACACTCTATAAATTCATGTGTTACTTGTGATGAAAAAAGAAAAGCACCCAATACATGGTTATGTTATTTAACCGTAAACTAGTAAAAACCGGTTGCTGCATTCCGTTCATTCTGTTAATTAAAATAGCAAAGATTTCATTTCCGATTCCCACTGGTAAGTCAATCGATTCGATCGAACATTGGTAAGATTGATTTGAAAGTAGCTTCATTACAGATAATAATGTTTAGGTTCTATTCCCGCAGATATACTTACCTATGAGAGGTCAATCTTTGGCGCATGCTGTTACCCACTCTTTAATGTATTCTTAACTCAGGGATAACAAACAATTATACGAGTAAGATGCATCCTATTGCAAAATACTGATTATCATACTGCTTCATCGGACCATCATCTTAACTGACAACAAGCATTGCTTCCAATCCATCTCACAGTCCGTGGCCTACCGGGTGAGTTTGTTATATTCAGTATATTCGATCGGCAAATTTAGTACTGATTCAGTCGCTTTAATTTATATTTTTAAATTTCAATTTACTATCCATGCTGGCGCAATGATTTCTGCTAAATCTCCGGTATATTTTATGCTATTTCATACTAATGCATTTTAGACGCAATTTCTACATAGGTAGCAAGAACTCACACAATTAATCAAATAATTTCATTAGTACAACAGCTCCGGTAAACTCTACAAACTTGGTAGTTGCACATTACATATTAAATTACATTTGTCTTCATGTATATACTTGATATTTACTATACTTTACGAATTGCTTTGGTTTCAGAAGGAAAGAATATTATCTGTACGTAAGACTCGGATTAAGTATTTATAGGTATTGTAGTTTTGCACAGCAAATGAATTGTGTCTGTGCTCTTGGGGGGTCTCTATTAGAAAATATAGTTTTACTGTGTAATGCACATTAACAACCGACTACTTTGTCTCCAGTTTCAGTAGTGACTGTTGACGGAAGAACAAAATGTGAGCTCACGATCAATTGTGTATCAACAATTACGATTAGTGTAGATTTTAGGTTCTAGAAAGTAGGAATTATATGTGCGAAAGCAATAATCTATGAACAAACCATGCTCATGATTCCATAGAGTCCTCTTTACATATCTTAAAATGACTAATGTTTCAATGTTAGTATTTTTAACTGTCGGGTTGTGCATGGTGATTAACTAAACCAGTTGCTATTTAAACATGCAGAGGACATTTTACTGCTTCTAGTGTACATATTTGCATCTGCTTTGTTTCTTTAATGTGATGGACTGCCGGTTATCAGTAAATACTATAAATAGCCTGGAGTTTTGCAGAGAAAATGCCCTAATAAAATTTGCTTATTTGATTATTTCAGATTAATTTCGCATGCTTCATCCTACCGAAGGGTCAAATTCTAGAACTTCACATTACTCGCATTTGCGGTGGATTATTCAATTTAACTTAGAAACGTCAGTGTTTTAGCAGCTTGCTAAACTGTACAATTTACGTGATGAAATTAGCTAGCCCAAATGAAAACTATCTGTTTGTATTATCCTCAGGATAACAGCAATTAGTTTCTCTTGCGTGCCCTGTTCTCAAAGCCCCGGTGCACCGAATCAGCACACAGGCCTTCTATTTCGATTCTGTAGTTCCGTAAAAATCAGTTGTTTTAAAAGCTCAATCACTCACTTCGTCGATCGCCTGGTAGAAAGCACGGTTGCAGACGCGCGGCTTGGTCGTGATAGAGTTTGGCTGTCTGTCCGCGATAGCGAACGAGTCTGCAGAACTGGCATTGCTCCCACAACCCCCTAACACTTTCATGTTCGAAGTAGGACGCACATTATTCGTTTTGCGACCGTTTTGGATGTACGCAAGGTAAGAAATACAAATTGGAAAACATGTTGGAGGTATTAATCTTGCATATGCTCAAAGAGATTAGGAGCCTCATACCTTGTGTGAATAATCGCTATTGTAGCTGATCAGTTATCGTAATACAGAGTTTTCGTATTCGCATTTGAAAACAGTGAGTCTGTTACGTCACAACCCTACTGGGGGTTTTTAGCAACAGTTTTTATTGTTTTCAGTATCATTAATAGACACCATGAGTAAGTATGGAAAAGTCTTATGTATAATTGTATGTGGCTAGAACTGTAGGAATTATAGGGAATTAATACCGCTAAGCTAATTGCGTCATGGCTGTCTGACAGGTATTGTGCGAGGAGAAATTAGCATGATGATTTGTAACTAATCGGTACGGAACATTTTGGAATATCTACTTATAAAACTAATAAAGTACCGAATGGCCATCGAATTCAATTAATTATTTCAAACGAATCGTCTTATTTTAGAAGCAACTAAACTACAGATTGACATCAACACCACTCTGAACTTAGCACTAAATGTTTATAGCTCAGCTTGTGCAGTTGATGGTCTCAGAATTCGCCGAGCTCAGAGAACACAAACCACCAAATCTGAGGCTATTTTGCTAACTTAGGTTTTATTTGTATTTATATAACCCCCGGTCAAACTGCTTAACAGCATTTGAATCGTGCTAATACTAGACATAAATGAAATTGGGCACATAAACACCTTTCATGTTAGTAATATTTGCGTTATCTGTTACGTTTAGACATGTCTCACGATGTCACGAAGAGGAAAATTTTTAATGGTATGTTTATGTGCAAATCGTTGCAGCTTGTACCACGCATAGAGTTAGCCGAAAAATATGATTTTCAAGCTAATAAATAAAATGATTTTCAATCCACATTTCATCAGCTTATTACGATGAAAGACGTTTTATCAAAGGTAAGTTTATAAAATTCGGAAAGATACAACTGTCTTATAAAAGAGCCCCTTAATTTCAAACAGTGTACATGATAATATAAACTTCTCTATTTTTGAAATAGTGACGCATCTTCAACGGAAATGTAAGGAAAACTGATACTTTTCTCATTGTGTTCTGTTCACATGTCATGAAAATGTGTGAAATACTGCGAAACTTTATTTTTTATAATGTCTAATTTAGAAATAGAATAACATGTACAGTGTGAACTATAGGAAGTTATTTTCGGAGCTAGCATTAAGTATATTATTGTAAATCTTTGCTACAAACTTATAACATTAATAGTGTACAAAGAGTTAACAGCATGTAAAGGAAATTGCGAGATTCCTCTTAAGTGACAAAAGATAATTGGGAGTAACTGCTGACTTCCGGAAGTCATTGGGTCGGAACCCGGTAGCAGTCCGAGGAAGGCGCTCCCCTGACGAGACCCAGAAGTTCGAAGCAGCTCTCTGGTGTTTCTAAAGATTTGCTAAGACTGCTGAGTGAGAGTGGAATGCGAGGAATTATCACAGAAAGTTACCAAAATCCAAAATACTCATTAATAACCTAAAACCTCTCTGAATGCTTTCGTAGTGCTGTGTCGTATACATTCGCTGTTCAAAAAAATCCTAGCTCCTTGAGGTTAACTACTGTCTACTTCACAGTTCGTAACTGGCAAGGTACTGCAAGATGAGCCGGACTATATTGTAGTCAACTGTTAGTCATGCAGCTTCCCATCCCTTCCCCTATGGCTTAGTGGCATGAGCTGCTGGCATCCGGGGGTCATGATTTCGGAAATATGCAGATGTCCCAGAAATGCGCGCTACTGAAGCGAAAAAGGTTGAAACATCGCTGGATGCTGATTTATCAGACTTTCAAACCCCGCTAATTCAGAGCAGGCTGAGGTGAATTATCGCTGAACTTATACTGAAATCCCCACTACTTATTAATAAACAGCAACGGCACAAAACGTTTAAACATAAAGAACTTACAGAAAATGAAGCAATAAAGCGTGGTTGCTCATCTCAAAGCTGTTGGCTATATATATATATATCCATATATATATATATATATATATATATATATATATATATATATATATATATATAGCTCCAGAATGTCCTGAATAACTGCTTTCGACTCAAACATCTATAGTTCGGTCTCACACAGCTTACTTTGGTAAATGTTTCGATACCGTTTAAATCGTAAACATTTATTTTTGGAAGCTATTTGTAAGGTTGGCTAACAACGCAAATAATGACTTATTGCGGTAGCGGACTGCACTTGCAGACCTGGGAGCTCACCATGGCATTGCTATACCAAAATTCTACTGTGGAGTTAAATGGCTTGTGATGTATATGCTTCGCGGTTCGTATGGATAGACTGTGCACCCACTCCGCGATGCGAAGATATTTTATCACGAAAACTATAAGTTTGTACATTATCACAAGCAGTAGGAAGGATTTTCATTTAAATAAATAAATAAATGGATATTTATTTTTGAATATGCAAGGCATTATCTTCAAGGTGCAACTGTACAGACATAGTGTGACAATTATAGCATCCATAGTAGAAAAGTGTTTAAATGTTCATACTTAAAACTGCACAAAGGTTCAAGGGTATAAAAAATAATTGGGCTGTCGTGAGATTGGGACCCGTTTGTAATAACATACTCATGCTGCAATAGTTTGCATTCAGCCCATAATAAACCACAAATAACGGATGATCGATTGGAAGATAATTGGAAAGCGACTCACTGTGCGGTTGTTGCCCAGGAAGCAGTTTAACTCATTCATATGCCAGAAAGTTTGCGACCTCAAAATGTATCAACTTATAGCTGCTCCTGACCTACAGGTGCAACATGAATTTAACGGTTTAATGATACAAATACGTCAGGGCAGCATAAGCGGGATTTCTGATAGTGTTCTGTTGCTTTATCACAAAAAGCGTGAACACGTTTTGCTGATACACCACCTGTCTTGATTATGTGGTAATTGTAGGCAAATGGCTTTTCAAATCCAGGCTGGTGCAATTTTGCTAATAACGACGCCGAATGCGTTTAAGATACTTTGGGACTAAGCAACATTTTAAAAGGTAGCACTTTAAGCGCTGAAACAGATGCATGTATATTACAGGAACACTGATTCTGAGTTACTAGTTTGCAAAACAATTACCCAACTTGAAAAGTACAGAAAGAAGACGAACGCTGGTAGATGCGTGCATTTCAGATTGTCCCCTCAGTACCATTAACAATAACCGGTGGGCATCGATATAGCTAACAGTGGATGCAACCAGACAAACTTAAGGTGCAGAAGGAATGATGGAAGTTCACACCTACGTGACAAATAATTGTTTCGGAACAATCAAGGGTGGGTCAATCCGGTTAATAGCGATGGGTACAGCAAACCGAAGGAAACGGGGATTAACGTGACGCAACCCAACTTTAAACGCTGATCCCAGCTCTATCCGGTGACCCGAGTCTAATAAGTGAAGGGCCACTCTGGTTAATCTTTTAAATGATGGACGGGTCGCACCATAAACTCGCGCGTTGATTATGAAGTTGATAGCTCCGCTGAAACAACAGTTCAATCCGTACAGTCTTAAAGATTCGATTCAACTCATCGTTGACCTGGATGAACTCAACCTGTCAGACAAAGTCATATGTCGATTCATAGCTACTGTAAGCGGGAAGTCATGACACCAGAATGCCAACCTCTGTCATCTGCATGGCAGGTACTTGCATGGCAGTGGAGGATGGGTCGGGCTATATCGCCGTTAACTAACAATTCGTGATGGTCGGCTACCATCCTCCATGGCGCAGCTGCATAAGCTGCCGGCTAGTTGGCACAAGTCACTAGCAGTCATGGGTTCGATCCTCCGTAGAGGACCGAAGGATTCGCACTACTGACGAGCCCCAATAGGGCGAAACGGCCGTCTGACGCTTTTCTGGATAAGTAGTTGACTTATCTGGGTTGTCGGCTAACTGCGACGAACAAAAATACTCACAAAAATCGTTCTACTCATAAGTAGATTCATAGGTTACTTGGATGTATAATCCTTATTTACCAACGCGCCGCTACACCCTAAGGTGGTTTACGTTTGCCAATTAATGTAAATAATAAATAATGTGTCAGCTGTACGCCGAAACGGCGTTTCGCTGCCACGCAACCACCACCAGTCGCGCGCGGGCTGATTATACCGCGAGGACACCCACCCCTACGTGGATTCGAACCGGTGGCCTTATGGTTGCAAAGCAAACGCGCAGAGCACTCGGCCACCGGCCGACAGAAAAGGTTAGCTGTTCGCTACCAATTCCGACTGAATTGCTAAGATAATCTCTACAATTATGCAAGGAGAGTGTGGATTTTCACTTCTAGAATAAGCCACACCGTCAAATTCACCGTGTAGCAATGGGTAGCTCATTAGGTCCTGTGCTCGCTGATTTCTTCATGCTGATAGTAGAGAGAAGCATTTCTGTGGAAATAGCCCACGTGCCCTACTACAAACCATATGTCGTTGATACCTTGGCTCCCTGTTCGTCTGAGCAGCAGATCACACATTTGTAGAACAGCTCAATGGTGCTTATGCTAACTTACGGGTTACATGTGTATTAGAACAAAACAATTGTCTGCCATACCTGGACATACTCAAAAGTCAAATGGATGATAGATTGATTTAGAGGTCCGTTTACCGAAAATTAATTTGGTCCGGTCGGTGCCTGCACTTCACAAGCTTCCTATCAGTGCAGTACAAACGGACACTTGTGAAGACTCTAGTTAGTCGTGCTAGACGAATTTGTTTGGATGACCGTCTGAAAGCTAAACTGGTGTGAACTACAGCAATAGAAACACAGCCAACCGCGAGGGCCGAAGGACTTGGTGCACACGGCAGCCAAGCAGAAACTATATATCGAGTTGCCTGTCATAGGTGACTTAGCCACGCTGAAGACAACTAAGCGTATAATTTCGACAACGCAAGGAAATTACCATGCTGCACAAGTTGTCGTCATCAACCGAACCCGAAATTTGCCCATACCTCCAAAGAAGGAAGCTCAGCCTATTGCGGCCAACTCACACTGTGTACACAAATTTCTATGTGACTGCGAAACAGTTATATAAGCAGAACTAATAGAGCGCTGACTTTTTTATTAAAGGAACATGTACCAAGATGGATTAAAAGTGAAGTTGCTCTGATTGCCTACCCTCGTCAGAATCTATGTTCGCCAGACCACCGGCTTCTAGGTAGGCAAAAACATATTAGACTCGGGTCACCGGATAGAGCTGGGATCAGCGTTTAAAGTTGGGTTGCGTCACGTTAATCCCCGTTTCCTTCGGTTTGTTGTGGCCTTCGCTATGAAGCGGATTAAGCCACCTTTGATTGTTCCGAAACAATTATTTGTCACGTAGGTGTGAACTTCCATCATTCCTTCTGCACCTTAAGTTTGTCTGGTTGCATCCACTGTTAGCTATATCGATGCCTACCGGTTATTGTTAATGGTACTGAGGGGACGATCTTCAATGCATGCATTTACCAGCCTTCGTCTTCTTTCTGTGCTTTTCAAATTGTTAAAGACAACTAACTTCTTTACATTACCCAACTTGCGTGTTTACCGATAACTATAAAGTCCCAAGTATGAAAATGTTGCTTTCATAATTAACCGTGGCTCGGAAGTCAAATTTCACATGAATATACAAACAACTGCTGTCAGACCGCTTGATGGAGCAGTCCAAACAATTTTAAATAAATAAATAAATGGTTTCTTCGTTCAGTGAGAGACAATCCTGTAAAGGCATCTATGATCGGTAATTGCACAAACAATTACTGATTAACTAACAGCATATATATGCATGAATGTAGTTTTTTGTGTGTATGTGTAAGTAGTTATGTTGACTTCATTGGTTAATGTGTCTGAAGTGGCGGCTTTCTCGTCGAATTCTCTATCGAAGAGAGATCAAAGGACATTTTCGAATTGGCTGCCGTTCGTGATGTGTAGAAGGTCCTCCGAAAAGGAAACCAGCCTTGACTTATTTAGTGGCGAGTCACCTCCGTCACGTCTCCGTGTTGTCAAACAGATATTCGTGGCTTTTATTAGGAGAATGCCTGCCAAAAGGAAACCTACAAAGTCTTAGAGCACTGCCGCTAGACCATTTGCTGGAATGAGATTAACCCTAACCACCCAGCTGGCTCCAGGAGGAGGTTGTTCGGTGTACACAGTAAACCAACATTTTCAAGTTTAGTTCCCTTATTCTCCCAAGTTGTTTTGAACCATGGATGTTGTCCCGATGAAATAACTCGATGACGATCCTTATTAGTGTATTAAAGCATTTGCTTCAAGTTAGTACATGATGCTCAGCAGGTTGCGAATGTGCACATTCTCAAATTGAGAAAAGACACTCCGTTATCTCATTCATCTCTGGAGTTACTAGCAAACGCGTTGCTGCGGTTGGCGATTAGGTGAGATGAGAAATGCAAACGGCCTTGCTACAAAGTGCATGTACTAATTGGCCTTGTGAGTATGGTTGTAGCTACTTTAATTATATTGGTCTATGACCAGATACTTACGGGATGAGTTTCTTCGTTAAATTAAACGTTGATTTTATTAGACGGCATGCAAATAAAATTTGCTCCTGTGAGCATGTTGTTTCATGTAATGTATTTGCATGGTTTGCTTTGATGTCTCCAAATAAAAGCTGCGCTAAACACTGCAGTAAATACAATTGATAAGGAATGTGTTTATGTTAAGAATTTCCAGTTGTTATTGCTTATCACTTCACATAATAACTTCATGTAAATATGTACTTAGGGTTGTGGAAAGAAAGAAAGCCAGTGTTCCAGTTCCAAGGTAGGTGACAGTTCAAAAATGTGCACTTAGCAATAGTTTCAGGTTTCTTATCTTTCCAACAGATTTTATGATGGAACGCAAATATTAAAATGTTTCAGACAAGCTGGTTAGAACAAGTAAGTCACATGTTTCATTATACGATGGAATTAATTCATTCATTATTTTATCCATTTGCTTTAGCAACCTCTTTCTCCTCGAAGCAACAATACTTTATAAATGAAAGTTAAATTAATTGTATGTTCCGAGAGGTTCAGTTGACTAGATGATTCTGAAGGAAAATAAGGACATCACTATGAAAGAAATCTGCACATAAAAGAAAAAACAATGTGCTTTATGCGCAAATTAATTTTTGGTTCAGTTTGTATCACTACGAACAACAGTAATGGGGTTAACAAAATATGTAAGCCAATAAATACATAACAGCCGTTCTTTTATATTTTAATATCAGCATGGAATTTAAGCAATCAACTATTGATACTAAGCAACTTAGTAACCCGTATTAGGTAAATGCTTTAACTTAAATGCCTAGCTAAAATACTGCCCGCGAAAACCAACTAGATAATAGCAAATGTCAATTTCCAATCTAATTCGAGGAGCACGGTAACCCAGCTGCTTGAGAGATCCAGGCGACTATAGGCTAAGATCAATTGGCCCTCAACTTTGAGATGAATACCTTTGAACTAACAACAATGGGACCTTCGACATATGCACTGCGCGGCACTGACCGTGCCACAAATTACCAATGTGGACTACAACCATTAGCTGTCGCGGCCTCTACTGAAGGAAAATCCATCGCACATATTTATCTAACTAATTGCGGTACGAATATCGATAACTCTAGAATAAACACATTTTGCTTCACTGCATTAAGGCACTTTCAACTGTAACCCAATCACCGATTAGCTTAAAAACGCAACGTAACCAATCCCAGTACCTTTTAGTGGCTACGCAAAGCATCTGATTGACGGGCACGTGCTAATAGCAGGATAAAAATGGATTGCGAAAAACGAAATAATGTCCTAAAGTTGGGGTATAAAATATGATATGTTATATGTTAGGTACCAATCGTGTGCTCCTAATCCGTGGATGGATCCGTAGTCCGTTTATACGTAGGAAAAAAAATCAACGCCGATTGGTCTGTATGAAACTGTACCCTGATCCTAAGCGGAGTCATTGGAAACATATGGGACAAAAACACACTAATGAGAAACAGAGAGCAATCAGTGAATACACTATAGTCATATGTTTTGGCATGTGTAATTTATGCTTGTGGCATGACGCATCCGTCGTGGATATCCGTAATATCCCTTCACATGGCATATAAGTTCATGGTTGTAAACGGTAACGTTCTATTTGTCTGGGTGAACGTCGTGGACCACGAACAGGGATCGGTAGATCAGCTTTATCCAATTGAGTTTTTCAGTCCTCTCAGTTTGTTCTTCATCATCAGTTTCATCCTTGGAGACCTTTTGCGGATGCACGGGGCCGAACAAAGTCGTTGTGTCTGCATACGGTTTCACCAAGTTCCAGCTGTATATCCGCTTCCGTTCGTGAACTGGCCAGTACGGTTCAGGGCTGCTATATCGGCTCATATGTGAGTTCCGTATACACATCCTGTTTCGGTAACTAACTGAGTTTTATCGCATACGTGTCCACTCGGATGCATTCGCTGATGTTAGAAATATCTGATTTGATGGGCTCTCGAAATAGTATATCTGCCCCTGTACGCAAACGACTCCCAAACATCGCCTATCCAGGACTTTGCCGATGGACTCCAAGGGTGTGACACGATAAGTGAACAATAGTCTATTAATTCTGGTACGCAAAGTTCCTTGGCTTTCCATCAAAAGACCGGCATTCACGGTTTGTTGCGCTCTCTATGCCAAACCTTTGGAGGCTGGATGATATCGTGTAGAATTCATATGGTGGATGTCGTCTGGATACTATTCGAATAATGTGGATACTGTTCGAAAATTGAACATGTGACTTGTGGACCGTTAGCTTTAACGAAAGTGTTTAGCATACCATATGTGGATAGGCTAGTGCGCACTTTATTACTTGTTTTCTCTGAAGTAGCGTTAGGAAGAATATATATATATATATATTTAGCCATTTTTGCTATGCATCCATCAGCAGTAGTGGCGATTTTTGTTCAATCGGACCGAAATAGTCTGCGTGAACACGCTCCAATGGACCATCAGTTAACTCTCTTGTGCGTCGGACAAGCCTGTTTGTCTTGTAGATATTGTTGGCTATAGCAAATGCGTATAACAGCGCTTCGATATCTCGATCAATTGTCGTCTAGCAACCGTAGGCTGTGGCCAGAGAGTTCACGCAGACGACTCCTGGATTAGCATCATCTAATTCTCTTAATACGGTTGATCTGAGAGCATCCGGGATAACAATACGAGATCCACGTCTGATACATCCTTAATGCAGACTTATCTCCAAAACACAACTGACGAACGGATGTAGGACCTCAGTGGATCGTGTATCCCAACAGCGTAATATCAAACGTTTCAAGGTCGACATGCGGATCACGGTCTGGAGCTCTCCTAACCAGATTGCTGGATATTGGAGTGGTGTCTAAGTGATACAATAACTGGAAGAACTCGCAAGGCGCTCCACCCCACTCGTTACTTCGCACTTCCTATGGCAATCTACTGAGGGCATTAGCTAAAGTATTGTTGGAACCAGAGATGTATCGAATTCGATGGCTGTACGCGAAAAGGAGGAGTACACAACATATCATGCGGGGAGCATTAATTTGTTCTATACCTCGTCCCTCGCCAACCAGCGAGATCGGTATTTTAGGACATGTCTGTGTATCAAATTGATTGCCCCACAAATATTGATGGAAGCGCTTAACTACAAACATCACGGCCAATACCACTTTGTCTACCTGTACGTTATTCTTCTCAGTGATCTGTAGTGTTCGGGATGCGGAGAACATAGGAAGGATGGTTCCACCAGAAATCTGACTTCCTAGGACTGCTCCCACTCCAAATGGGGTGGCATCACATTGTAAGACGAGAGATTTGACTGGAACATAATGCACTATTGCAGGTAAAGTAGCAAGTAGATTCTTCGCCTTCAAATATGATTGTTTCTCTTTCCTTATCCATGACTACATGGCATCTTTCTTCAACAAATCAAGAAGTGGTGGGATCACAGAAACCAGTTAAGGTAAAAGACGTGGGTAGTGTAAATGCATCCCAATGAACGAACGTAACTGTGATTCGTTATGTGAACTGAATGCACTGATAACTGGCTCCTGCTTGTCCTTTCGTGCACGTAATCCATTTGTATCCCGTCCATATTCCACTAATGCAAAAACCCAGTAGGATGAGAGATCAGAAACTCGGTAAACACTGCCTCCTGATAGCCTTGCCTGACCGAAGGGTGGCAAAACATATCGGTTGCCACTATTAACCGTAAACGGTAAACTTATTGCTCTTCATTAAAATTTAAAGTAGCCCGTAAGTTCCCCGCAGTATATGTTGAAGTATGGGTTACTTAAGTGCATCATAAACCTTTATTTTGCATTCAGAATTAAGTTATATCGTCGATTAGACGTAGCTGTTTCGAGATTGCTTTGGGGCTCCAGATTTTAAAAGTTTATGGGCCCAACATAATGCATCGCCTACTAAGGTCGCAAACCCAACTGTGATGTAGGTACAGTGGGTAAATGTCATCGTTACAATCTGTAATGCGAAAATGTAAGCAATGCAAATAATAATGCGTTTATACATGCGCATAATAGCCCCAACTCATTTATCAGCAATTATCTGAAGACTAAATTTTGTTTTTGATAGTATACTCCAGATATTCCTATAAATACTATAGCATAAAGATGAAAAAAACCATACTGGAAACAGGGCGTTGAACACCTGTTGCATTGCAGTAGTGATATGGTACAATCGAAATTTAGTGCGTACGCTGGCCTTTGGTTTGTGCAGTATTTACAAAACTGTGACATCGTTACAAAGGGCTGAACAGAAACGGTGCAGCTCTGAGGACCAGTGATAACCATGATAAAGTAATCACTGTTTACATATTTATAAGAAACCAGTGCGTTTAACATTTACGTTTTCCTGTCTCTCTGAAGATGTATCCAAACAACTGTGATTGGCTATTCAGAGCCTCGATTTCGCGGCTTGCCAAGCTTACGTCTCTACCCGCATTAACTTTAAATTATAGATTGCTTCAAATGCCTTATTCAGTGTAGTTTATCAATACTCGTTCTACTGTGTGGAACTATACATGGGATTTTAGGAGACGGTTGCCTCGTAGGAAAGGCTGATCGTGCATAACTTACCCGATGTTGCCGCGGCAGGGATGCCTGGAAGAGTTGTACAGGGGAAAATCAGTGAAAGTTATCTACATTGATTTTAGAAGTGCTTTCGATAAAATGAAGCGTGAGATCCTGCTACACATGCTGAGGATTTGTGGTGTTGGTGGCGCAGTAAACCGGTGGATCGGTGACTTCTTTATTGGGTGATGTTGAGTTCTGTTGCATGACCATCTAACGGACTGGTACCCCTCCACTAGTGGTGTATACAAAGGCACAGTACGGCTACCCATTTTATTCCTGATCAATAGAAATGAAGTGCCTCAGTCTCATCGGTCGCCTTGTGCACTGTTTACAGACGACTTGCAAAATTTGGAGGTTATTAATTCTCCCGACAACTGTGTCGTCCATCAGTAGGACCTCAATCGCTTAGCCCTGTGGTCTGCAGAAGTTGAGTTACTGATCAAAACGACCAATTTCTCGTTTATGAGCCTTAGGAGGGGTGGCAATGTGCTTGCGTACATCATGGCCGGCAACCCGCTACATCCCAACAGTTCGGTAACAGATCCAGGTGTACTCTCACGCTGTGACCTGACTTCTGTCGACAACACGAACAGACTGTACGTAAAAGCACCACGCCGGCTTTGAGTACTTAAAATGCAGCTATTGCATTTGATCTGAAGACATTGTTACTCGCCTTTTCTCTTCTATGATAAGAGCAGTGTGTGAGTACAGCTCAAGCGTAAGTGACGTGCAGAAACTGGAACGGGTATAGGTTACAGCTACCCGGCGCATCCCAAGATTACGGGGTATGTCGTACAAGGATCTGGGTAGGAGACTAAGACTATTCACCCTGTCATGCCGTCGGCTTCGATTTGAGCTTATAATGACGCACATCATATTGCATCTGGGCAACGTCTCTATGTTAAGGTTGCTAATGCACGTTCGCGAGCAAAGCAGCACATGCCGACACCGGTACAAACTAGTTTGTACCTGGTTTAAAACGCATGGTTCACCATATTTGCTTCGAGCGTCGATTTGTAACAACTTGTCGGAGACGCTAGTAGTGGCGAAATAGTTTTAGAAATTTTAGAGGCTCCTTGACGCTCACTTTGTGGACAACAGTTATAAGGAGCGCATTGCGCCCGGATATGATGTATTGCTGCTACAATTTGCTGTTACCGCGCAGTAATGAGCGACGTGATTCTGCGCATGTGCTTGACCCATCTACGATGCGGCAAGAAACAGATTTTTACCTTGTCGCTCTCTATTTTCCGTATTCAATATTCATCCCAGTGAATTTACAACAGGGTTGTCTGTTAAAATATGCACTATGTTGTAACTCTTCATGTAGGTTTTTAAAATGATTTCAGAGTTATATAAGTCAAGCCAGAACGCATTGCGTTAAATGCATTATGCATCGTTGGTGAGCTACTAACAACTGCCATCAAGTCTATCAACTACAGAAACAGGTTTCACATTCGCTGCTTCACTGTGGCCTATAAATGACACTGTATTAAAGTAGTTTTCCTAGATATCATTTAGGTTATTCTAAGAATGGCGTGTCCAGTTACAATTCCATCTGCATAAGCTACTAGGTACATGAGCAGCCTAGTTCAAACGTTGAATTTGTTATCATAATTTAATTTACCTACAATATTTATGATTCGCCTTAAGTAAACGATTGATTCCCATCAAACTTTTGCCGATAGCTATCATTCCCGCGACCCCGTTCAACTTCATATTAACTCTTTGTTATATAGATAGAGATGATAAGCAATTTTCCCAATCCGCATTTATGCTTTCACCAAGATCTATTAAGCAGGCTTAGGTTAGCTTGAATATAAACCACCATAGCGTGAATACATATGACGGGTTTTCAGTGAGTTGAAAACCAGCTAAAATGATTTGCTAAATATTTATGCATTCAAGTGATCCCTTCAGAAATCCATATATTAGTGCTAATTGGTGCAACTCGTATTAAGTTGAGCTATTACACTGAATTAATATTTACTTGCTTCAAATCTCTAGCTGATACGTCGAATCATATCTTTGTCGGTAAGCGTCTTGACACAGTAGTCTATGTCTGGTGTGCGTGTTAGTTATCATCTGCAGCTATAAGTTTTATACTGACATTTATCGCGTTTAAAATCGCGTAGACATATTACTGCTAGAACAAAACCTTATATATATTAAATATATTTAACTATACAGTGTCAAGTCTAAGTCACGTTTCTACTGTATTGCTTTTGCCACATTTTATTTTAGCTACTAAACTGAGAAATATGTGCTTTTAGAGCAAACCTCGATGTCAACATCGAGTTGGTAATACTGACATACATTAATTAAATTATTCATACCGGTATTATTAAGCGAAATATAAATCGAAGTGGAAATACAAGATCTGGTTTTTGAATGCCGAGGAGCGGGTACCCTAAAAGTTTTTTAGGGAGTGTTTTGGAACTTCACATGGCGCTCAGAAAAATGGTAATGAGCCGTAATTTGGTTCGACAAGGAGAGAGAAGCCAAGAAATCAGGGTGGGTAATGATTTGTATTTCCGAAAATGAATTCATCTGAGAAGGCTTGCAACAATCAACTCGACGGCGAGCGAGCGACATGGCCGAACAGATGATACAGGTACTGCGGGTGATGACAGGAATAGGATGCGCAACCGTAGAACGTAAAGCGGTTCAATGACCGACAAACCTGAACCGGAAAGGGAAGGATATGGTAAAAGATGAAATCTGACACTCGTTTTACTGGGGCCATGAGAAATTTGGCCGAACGGAAACTTGGCGTAGAACCAGATATGTGGAAGCTCAATCGACTGAGCTATCCAGAAATCTAGCGTGGGCAGAGTGGACGGCGTGAAAGCCTCAGCCAAGACAATTAAGCCGGTACGGAGCCGCCCAGCCAGAAGTGTGCGATGTGGAGGCGCATGCCACAACCCAAAGCCAATGTTGCGTAAATAATTAGTTTTTCATTATTATGATTATTTTATGGACTTGATATTTGCGCAAATATATTAACTTTGCCTTTGGCGAAGGTGCGATTAGTCAGTGCTAGTCAGTGCTTATGCTGTCGATAATTGGCCATTTAATAATGTTGTATTTTGCGCAAAATATGTTGTGATGGTAGTTCCTCAAGAGTTTATAGGTAAGTTATACTTAGTGCGGTGTGTGACTTTTTCTACTTTTTCCAAAATCCCTTAAACGTGTTGCACTTAATAAAACAAAGAAGATTACATTTGAAAATTATGCAAATATGCCCGCGATTTCTGCATCTATAATTCTTAGTTAATGCATGAACATTCGAAGTAATTATTTTATTTTAGACAATGTTTACCATGGTATGTTTGCTTTTCCTTTTTGGGTACCATAAGTGCAAAATTTAAGTTTAAGCCTATTCATCCACGAGGTAAATTGAGTATATTTATTAAACAATACTTTACTTTTCATTTCTAAGTCTACAGTACACCAGTGGGTATGTTATTCAAACGTTGCTGGTAGGTCGCAGTAAAAGATTCAAAGCCATTTAAGATTATATATTCATATTTTATTACCTTACAGGCGGAGTTATCTTAAACGGTAGGTTAAACACAGTGCCTTTTGATGATCTTTATTCCCTCAGATAATTAAATAAATCCATATGATGAAGTGACAGTATTTTAAAGCTGATCCGTCGAGTATAATATGTATTTGATCTGTCCAGTGCACAATTCTAACGGCCGTTGTTTCGCATTTATGTCGTTCGACAATATGTACGCATCCAGAGAATGACACTACATCAATTAGGCAGAAACGTAATGGTTAAATCGCTAATTTCTCAGATGAGAACTATTTTAAGTCTCCTAAAGATATTTACATTAAGCTTCTCGAAACCATTCCTTGTTACTTCAAAGAATTGTATAAAAGCATTCAAATGCTTACTAATCCACGTAGCATGCACTTTCCTTTTATAACGTTTAGCGCACAGCAATCAATTTATTCCACATAACTCTTAAGGCAGAACACCGACTGAGCTTCCTTTTATAAAAATTATAACCATGTTCTGCATTTATGATCTTCGTTGTTAAGGAAAGCTTGATACTCACTCTTGATAAGGCGAATGCGTGATTTTTCGTTCAATTGGCATTTCGTTTTAAATGCGAAGTTGCCCGAGAAAAGTTTTGCATCCAGCAATTAATCGCAGCCATTGAGCGCAATCATACCTTTATTAGAGCACGACCGATTTTCTAGCACGCACAGAACCCTTAATCCATACAGTTAAAGTAGCGGACGTTAACTAATAATACCCATTGTTTTTCAGTAAGATGGGAGCCTAATGATGAAACAGGTTAGCTGACATGGTATAATGGAAATAGATCACTATTTTGAAAGCAAACGCTTTCAAGCGTAAACAGTTTTTGCATTAACCGTAAAGCACTTTTTAATCAAATTTACAGGGTACAAATAATCAATGCCAAATAAATGTATAATATCTAAGTACAGAGTAGCTTAACTCATGTGGTACACTGTAAATATCGCTGTAAAACTGTGTTCATCATGCCTACGTAGTTAGTTAAGCTGAGCAACATGCCTTATTCAAACTGTTAGTAGCTTAACATTTGAACCGGTTAAACCAATTCTGATGATATCAAAGCAAGATGACACAGTTACATGTTGAATAGTCTAAACAACCTATAGAAAGATCAAACTTAAAAGAAGATATATGCAATTTGCGCGGAATCTTTTTTGACGTTTTAGCACTATCATGCAAAGTGATGCATTGTTGACCATTCCCAGAAGTGGCCAGTGCAACACGTTGTATTTTGTCATTACATAAATTTAGAGCATAGATATCACAATTTATCCTTAGATGCAAAAGCTCTTTGAGATTTTATTCAATTTTGATGGCAATCCACAATCTTTAATTCGCAAGGAAAACGATGCTAATTTTCATACTTTTAACATGAATTAATGCACAACTTTCATCAAATTCAGCCGTTATCCAGTATATTACTCGCAAATGCGATGCAGGTGCGTTTTAAATTCTTAGCGTAGCTCCTAATTTACATACCATATATTTTAATTTATAGTTTGTTTAGCATGTGTAAGTAGCCGTTTAAATCTATTAAAATAATTATTGAATGCGTTGTGACGATTATGAGTCTGCTGAATTGACGACAAAGTTCAAGGAGAAGAATATCTTAGGAAATTAAAATTAAAATTAGCTACCTACTAGCATTTCATGACCTAGAGTGTAAACCAAATGTACACCTGCTCAGTTGGTACGTATATTGGTATGTATATTATATTAATTTGTATTATATGATATCTCTTGTAGATCGTATAAAATATATCTTGTTAAAATGCAAAAGAATAATTGCTATAATGCTATCAATATATCCCAACGACGCAGTAAGCTTTAAATTATTTTAAAAGGTTAGGTGGCAAACATAAAATTTTCAAAAGTATTGGTCTGTCAGCTCAGCTAGGCTAAGGCGAATCTCCGACCTTACAATTACTCGCACTGTAATTTGAAGGACAAGTGACAGATCTGCCGATGTTATTATTATACCGTAATATTCATTTTTTATCAACAATGAAAGCGAATGCCTATTTACATATCTAATGTAATCAAACCGCTCTTAAAATACTATTTAAATTTGCTTAGCCATATTCATGACTACAATGAGCTGAATAATGTAATTCGTCTCGCCTGATATGATCAGTGAACTCTGCTTGACTTAATTCAGCATTTGACACAGGTCCATAACATTCCACATCGCACTTTTTAGAATCGACGTCACTGGTTGGTGAGTGGTTACTGTTGCCTTAAATAACTACCTAATCTTGCAAACAAACACATGAAAGCTACTGTAGTATGCAATGACGTCGCAGTTGTAGGAGGTATAAATGCTAAATGAAACCCGGCTTCCAAGCACATGTAAATTTAGCTCTGTCAGCATGTCAACGTTCAATTATCAACTTGCTGGGTTTCTAGCTCAGAGTAAACTAAAGCTCTCATGTACAAAAGAATATTATGTTATTATTCTATACCAGAATACAGTAATGCATTGTTTACTTGATTACACTGCTCTAGCAAATGTGCTGATGATTATACTGTAGGTCCAGCCGCTTGCTTTTGTTAACTGCTAAGATAAATCCTCCATAAGTTCATAGGGCATTCGTGCATTTGGATTTGTGTAGCGTATTGGCAAATGCAAAAAATGTATTGTTTTAATGCGTCGCAACTTGGAAGAAATCAAGCGTTGTTAACGAAAGGAATATTTAAGGTTTTGCGCACGATTTTATAAATATGGCAATTCCAGCGCTGTATATGTACTGTGCATATATGTTAACTTTTTAGCCCAAAGTGTTACCGGTAAGGCTATATTTATTTTAAACTTCATATTAATATGGGATCGCTTGTATACGCACATTAGTTATCAGCTGTCAGCTATACCTTCTTCATGACAATAGATACATTTAAAAATGCGAATACGTGTCATGCAAAGTTAGGACGATCATTTGAATTTTGCTACTTATATACCAATAAATTCGTATTTGATCTCTGTCCATACAGAAGAGATGACCGTGTTGACAGAACAAATATGTGAGCCAAAATCTGTGAAATTTTACACCACATCGCATGAATCATTTGCAGTATGTGGCGCAAATGCGTTATTGCTCTTCATGTTACTTCACTTCCTATTGGACGGTGGATTACATAGTCGCAGTTTAAGTTCGAAGACTCTACTGGCGATAGTGCGAACTTTTCACCGAACCGGCTTGCAGAAAGCAAGTTTATTTGGTTGAACAGCTAAATTAATATACCATATGAAAGATAACTGCGAAAAGCTGTAGGAAATAGCAAAGATTTTGTGCTCGACCAAAGAAAAGTGCAATAATAAAATTGTTTTCTGTCTAAAGGTAAACATGAAGCTAGATAAATCAGGTGCTACTTGGGCGAGCTGTGGCAATTTGATGGTAGCAATCTCTATGAAATAAATGAGTGACATAAGATGAGTGTCGCCTAACACAAAATGTTAATAGATATTCAGTAATGAAGTATTTGGTTGATCTGATTTAGAAGGAGAGACAGTGCTCCAAGTCATTATGTATTAATTGGTGACGCTAATTACTACGTAAACTGATTTAAATGGAGTTGGATAAATAAGTCTTTTCGACTTCTCGATTTTGATTCACGGTGTAATAGTCACATTTATTTGAAGCAAAACGTATCACAATGGCTCAACGCGCTTGCACCAGAAGCTGCATGATTTTCGTGTCTTTAATGAGTGGTTATCTAATAGGCACTTGCAACATTCTTTAGAATAGGTGTAACATGTTTCACCTGGTAAGCTGTTCCATTCGTTCATTCCCCGGGGTGAATACATGGACAACTGAGCGATCGTGTTATGAATGGTATTTGAACGGATTTCATTGGTAATTGTGTCCACTAAACAATCAGCATTTAGCCCATAGGACTCATAAACCCACTCCCGAATTTCCATTATTAGATGTTTTCATTGTGAAATGGATCAACCTGACGATGGCCGAAATTCTTGATGAAAAAATTGCAATGGCTGATTCGATAGCTCTTTGGCTGACAAAACTAATAAACTAAAAAACCCATTTGCTAAATGAAACACACATACTAATATAGGTAATCCCTTTTTATGTTATAAGTTAAAATAAATCCAAAGCAACCTATCTTTACTTATTTGGTTCTTCCCATAAGAAACACGTTGAACGTTATTGTTACTGGTTCGGTTTAATCAAGTGTCGACATAAATGCAATCAGTATTTTGGCGGTTAAACTCACGAAATATTGTACAGCATATGCACTTAAATTCTACCTTGGATACCTAAGCAATTAAATTAGCTTGCTCATATAATAAGCTTAATGGCCTTTTATTATTGCTGCAGTTTATTCTGATGGGGCTCAAAATGTTGCAGGTAGGTTCTAGTTAAATCCCTTAAATCTAGGGAATTTCAGCAATTGGCTCAATTTTCCCATTCATATTTGAACAGCAAAAATACTGTGCTCAGACCACGTTTTCTTTATAAAACAGTGAAAAGGATTCAGGATCACAGTAAGTTCGTCAAATTGATTTGGTTGACTCATAGCAGCCAAAAGACACCTAAGTTAAATATTTTTAAGTGAAGTTTCGAGCTACATTTACGATATTTAATATAACAGTGTTTACTCAATCTGCTTGCATCTGCCACCCAAAGTAACTTGATTTTACTCAAAGAGTAACTTGTTTTTCCTGAATATCAGTAATAGTTTGGTTGGTACCAAGCGGTAAGTAATTAATTTAAAGGTATTTGAAGTTCTCTTTCCGTTCGCTAAATCATCGGGAACTTTACTTCCAAAAAACGGCGTTACTTTTTTTAGTGGCTCAGTTTTGAAGCTAACGGGGATGAAATATATTTAAAAAATTCATTTTGATAGGAATGGGTAGTGTAACAATTTTATTTGATTTATCACTAGCGCTGATGTGATACTAATAATGTAAAATAATGTTTCGCAGCTTGCAGCAAGCTAACTCTCAAACACCCCAGCTTTAAGTAGTGTGATGGAAAGAAAAACACAAAGAGCTATTGATTCAGCATTTTGATAGACTCTGCGCATGCTAGACACAAACGTTTTAAACGTATACTTGCGAGCGCTCTGCAAAGCAAGTTTCGACCTAAAGGCGTATTTGATTTGAAAATGTGAATCAGTATTCTGCGGGCGTGTAAACGTTAAACATCTAAAAACCTTTTGCTCACGGTTAAACATTCGTCATATTAATTTTTACCAAACCGGGCTAAACGCTAAGCGGATTATGATACTTACCTGTTTGCAAACTTGCTTACCGCTATGTTTCCCTGGTAATGTGACACAATTTTGATACGAATTGCGTAGCAATTATTATATAAATTTGGACATTTTGTTTTAGACATCATTGAAGGTAAGAGTTGTTTATAGCACACAGTACTTCATATATTGATAACGTAGACTCAGTAATTACACATGATTAATAAAATACAGGAGCTGTATTGTTTTAAGTGTAAGCATTAGAATTCAAATATTTTAATGAATAAAAACACCAAGTCTTACTTCTTTTATTTTTAGATGGGGATAATCGGAATGCTGCAGGTGGCATGCAAATGAAAGATGTATTATCGGCTTTCGGTTTGATGATGTTATAACCGACTAAAATGGACTTTACTAATGAATGGCCTTCATGACCAATGGAATAATATTTTCATAAATTTAATGAATTTTATCGCTACACTGCGTCACGTTTTAAATAGCACACAAACCTAATCTCTCTAGTTTATGAACATTCCACTGGTGAGTATTACAAATTCCCTCTCTGTAGCCTTTTCTTTTATTGCCTCAAGATGAGAACAAATTGCGTAGGTGAGAAGTGTCATGTACTTTTATTAAATGCAGCTATAATTTAACGTTACACTAGTCGCGTATTAGTGCCGTTTTATTGGAGTCTAATTACAAAAGCATATGTAAAACGCCAACAAGTATGACAGTATAGTACAGTTGGTATCAAAACATGGAACTAGAGGGATATATCACGTGTTTATGTATGTAAACCGTGTCCAGCTAGGATACTTTGCTGCAATGCGGGCGACTAAATATAGCACAGAGAACGTGATTTGAGAATTGCAAGCCCGCTTACCGCGCACTCGGGTGCGCTTTCTGCTTCCCGATTATATAATTGTATGCCGTTTTTTGGTTGGATGCGAGAAAAATCAGTCTGTCCATCGCCCATATTTATCACCTGCGCGCACGCGTAATCATTCCAAATGAACTCAGGTCTTTTCGACTACACGCCGGAATGAAACTTGCATGTCGATCACGCGGTGTTCTCAATAGGCGTAGTGCCAGAGAAAAAAGAATGTAGATCTAAGGAGAACTTCATTTCCGAAGAATGAATGTTGCAGAAATTTTTACTCCGGGACTTAACGCATGTTATATACGTAAGCTAAAATTAACTGCAATTATAATACAAATGCTGCCTTAATATTCACTAAATATAATGAAATGCATTCCAATTGTTCTCATGTGTTGCGCTGCAGTAACCGCATAGCTCGTGTCTTTAAGTAGCCTACTATTGACTCAACCGATTTGTCAATACAATTTACTGCGTAAACCGATTTTTAGTTAAGGCAATGGCGGCTACATAATTTGCGCAAGGTTGACCAATAATAAGGATAGTTTGTGGAAGTAGGTAGCGGTATCATTCAATGAAACCATGCGCGATTCGAACGGAATGTCAAAAGAGACGGAGGAACCATCGCGTTCTTGCTGTTCTGTAGCTGCCATGTATAAATGCCTCAAATAAATAGAAAGTATCTATTGGAACTGTTTGTTCTACCAGTAAAATTCTTGCAAGAGATCTGTCGGTCACCTTGCACTAAACTTGTCGCATTCTAGATGAAAACCATTTATATTCGTTGTTGGTACATCCTAAGATTTGCTAGTATTGCGGTTTAATTTTATCGAAAAAAACGACAGACCACAGTTATAGGTTGCTTTTATAATCTATTCTTTACAGTTGCGTGAACAATCCGTATTCATTAGTAATACATGAATACATGAATGCTTTTTTTCAGAAGCGCAAGCATCATGTTAGATATGACCATCATTGAATTCAGCCTAGTATTTAGTGACATATGGTGTCTAACTTGCAATCTAAATGGATAAAAACGCACACATCAAAAATACACCAAATATAAGTGGTTGATATTATTGCAAGTCATTGACCTAAACTGTTTGTTTCAGTATCGATGTATATTCGAACAAAACAAACATTATTTTAAGGAATGTTAAATTGTTACTACGCTTTAAATATATTTGTTCAGTATGCTTTTCTGTAAGTTTAGGAAAACGTGTATTCATTATACCGACAACCAGAATTTTATTTCTGCTCTGCTAGCATGATCCGTCTATAAGCGCGCTACAGATGTGGCTAACATAAAACACGTAACCAGAATTTTTATTACAATTTAACTAGCCTTATTTGATTTTATATGGAGAGAACCTTATGGAGAGAACCTTATATCATGCATGCGAAAATTGCTCAATACATTCAGATAGTGTGCATTTTCAAAGGGCAAACAGTACTTGTGGTTTCGAAAGTCTTCCACTATGGTTTTACCAGTCAATGCACATTCACACGTTGGATTCTATTGTTTTATTCCTTTTGTTCCCAACAGGTAAGTAGGAAAGCTTCTTCCAGTTAGAAAAAATTAACTGATCACGAAACTGAAACTTCAAGGCTTATGGGAATGATATTACCTAGCTATAGCTATTTGGGTTAAATATATTCAAATCCTAAGACTGGATTAAAACTAACACCTACGTTTTTGTCCTTATTGACGTTACCGCACCTTGTAGGTTGGTACCTGGGTGAGCACTAAATTAACACAACAAGATATTGTTTCATGCTTAAATATAAGAAGTTTAAAAGCAATGTTATATGTTCTCTCTATTTCCTTACAGTATCTCGAACGTTTACTCAAGGTGAGTTGATTGCATGTGTTACCTTGGAGAGTGATCACAAAATCACACTTTACATGTGAATAATTTTCATACCACATCCTATATGACTATCATTTTAACAAAGAAGATTAAGCGAATATTCTATTTAAGCATACGTCAGAGTTATCTTTGACGACCTCCATAAGGCGGGCAATTTCATGCCAGGCTACTTTTATAAGGAAGCAGCGTAGACCTAGCAGCATAGTAATACCGAGCGTATCCAAAGCAACAACTGCTGCACTTGACAGTTTACTAAAGGATATGCTCAATAAATCCACACAAAACCGAGGAGGAAGCTGCGAAAACGAATAATTGGCACCAAATGAGACGTACGATTTCGATAGTTAACACTAATCACAATGACACTGAGGTGCAAATTTTGTTGGCCACTAGTGAACTGTAGTGTTTACTTATATCTTAATTTGGTAGTATTAGTTTACTTGCATACACCCACTTCCGTCACAGGGCCAGGATATAAAATGCTAACATTTGGAATATATCCATATGATTATTATTCAGGATGGACAGCAATACGCACACCAACGATTAAGTTCCTTGTTTTGTGCTTAGCCCTGTCAGAAAACTGATAAGCAGTTATGTCATCTTTCGAATAATGTCGGCAAACTTAAGCAACGAGATGGGACTGAAAATGTCGATAAGAAAAGGTAAGGACACATTTTGATGCCATTTGCCCATCTCCATTAAGTTCCACTAGGTTGTTATACGTGTGAAATTGCATGAAGATCAAATTTTTAACAGCGAAATCGAATTATCTTTGGTGCATACTTTCTAGCTTACGCTAAAGATAATTCGACCTAAATTTGACATAATTCGAGCAGATACACTTCAATATGGGAATAATGTTTGAATGTATTAAAGCTAAGCATTAGCACGCTGCGACAGGATTAGGCTACCCTAAATGTAGTCAAACTGGCAATATTACTTTACAAATGCAAATCATGATGATATAACTTAGCAATGAAATACAAGGCCAAAATCAAAATTTTCAATAAAACGAATCAAATAGAAGCGCATATTTTACCAGCATAGGTTGTTGAAAATAATAAACGTTTCATGGGAAGTAAGTAATCAAGCCATTTAAATAAAAATGGGGTTCACACGGTTGCGCATTTGGAAAATGCCGAAAAACCTTTCTTAGTTATTCCGCTTCATACAAAAAGTTAAAGTAACAGAACATGCTTAACTACATAACAGCGATACATTGTACGCATACAACTACAAATAATGCTATTTGGATGGTAACTGAAAAAATCAATATCATCCTTTTAACTAGGCACCTAAGCTAGATTATCCAAATTGGTATTAAGATTACTGAGGTGATTATTAAATATTCTTTCCGGTGTGTCTTAGTTATAGTAACTTTTAAGCATCGGGAATTGCACTTGGTAACTGTCTCAGTCTACTCGACTCGTCCGTCTTACCAATTTCCCGACTTCATCTGTGACACAAGTCTCCCTCACTCGGCGCCAGAATGCTGTTCAATTAGCTTCGGAAAAACGACAGGTCAGCAAAACTCAAAGAATGTCTTTTAGTGCGTAGTTCCTTATACACTATCTATTATGTTAGGAACGTTTCAACTCGCATGAATGAACTAGAGCGCAATGGGTTCCCATACAGAAGTTAGGTATTGCAACTTAATTATTTGTAAGTAGGCAATGTTTTATCGCGCTTACTGCAATTGCATCAAGTAGGACCATCTGTCTAGCAACTGGATGAGCACTAGACAGTTAGACTGTAATTCACGAAAGTCTACACTTCCCGCCCAGAACTTGGCTGCGATAACCGTTGGTGTTTAGAAGTAATGTTTTAAGCATCTATAAAACAGCCGGGTGTTCACAACTGTTGGATATTAATAAGCCAAATTGCTGGGCTAATGTAATTATAAATGTGCTGAGAACCTTTTGACATAGAGCTAAGCGATAAGCACTAAAAGTGTATAGTTCAAAATGGTTCATACGCAAATGATACCGTCATACCTACTGAAACTTTGAAAGCTATTGTTGCACTTGAATCAAAACAAACGCTCCTTAAGACATCAAAGTTAATTACATGTCCCTTCGCTGCGCAATCATATATTTATCTTATGTGCCACTTAGGTTGGTACAACAGACTATACAGCTAGTTGCATTAAATTGAGTAGTGGACGTGAAATAACCTGCGTTCTGTATGCCAGTGAATTAGTCGCAATCGTGATAACCGTACATTTTGAAAACATTAACATAAAGAAAACTATCACAATATTTGTAACCTGTATGGGTAAATCGTAAAAATACAGTTATTTAATGAAATTAAATTTTACCTCCACTTTCATGAGTTGAACTATGGCCTGCACAACAAGAATTTGCATTTCCAGTAATGCAGCACTGAAAAGATACGACACAGGGTTTATCCTGCAAACCGAATAAATTAAGTGAATGATTGAGGCTGCATTACAAAGCTAGTGGTACAGAAAAAAGAGTGAAAACTGACATAATTGTGCCAGAATGCCTAGATTTTAACGCCGCAATCGAATAAGGGAAACGTCTCTTTATTTCTTGGACCAAAAATATTTATCGGTTCATGCGAAAACATTAAGAAATAAACATTCGCTTCGTTTGGCTAATTAACAACTTTGTTTAACTTATGCCACCAAATGATCATTTAATGAGCAATCGCTAAATCAACCAGGGGCATTTAAGGCGATCAACGGTCTTGCTACAAGTGTGCTAAAATTAAGATAGATCTGTGACAACTAGGTGACAACCATAAACAATTAGTTTTTGCACTTAAGCATGCATTGGTTTGTATAAACATGATTTCAGTCCTTTGAATGTGATCTTTGAATGTGATTACAGTTAAATGATTTCACAACACACTTACCCAGATCAAGAAACAACAAATTCAAGGTTCTGCGTCTTTCAAGGTTAGTTGGAATTTCCGGAGAAAAAGAACATAATTTGTATTCGCTCTCTGAAATACAATTACTTCTTTTCACAGCAATATTAAATGAAGAAAAAACCCGTAGGTTCCTATCCATCTGGGTACATGCTTCATTTATTTTGCGATCAAAATTAAGCTATTGGTTAAATGTCTATCACGCGTAAGCGAAATAAAATTTCTGTGTAACAAAACTGTAATAAGGAAACGCGAAATATGCATAGGCTACTCCGTTCAACGAACTTATGATGCAATTTGTGGTTGTTGTATACTGTTGATGATCCATTGAAAAAAGCTTCTTTGCTACCTCCTACTTCTAATAAAGTACCTATGTTAAACAGTCCGAAATTGATGATCCCGGATAAATTTTTTAATGCACACCGTAAATTTTGTAAATTTACTTTAAAAGAAACAAACTATATGAATTTACATGGTATACTGGGAGACAGTTTTATTGAGCAGGACGAATCAATTTAATTATAAACAGAAAATCAGTATACACATAACTAATTTTATGCAGATCTAATCTTTGGATGACGGACGAATTTGAATACTAAATTTTATTTCCCTGCGCAGCAATTATTCCTTTACTAGTTCAACAATTATAATTAACGAACATTTCGAATATTATTCCAAATGACAGACGCGGTCAAAGTTCTACATCAGCGAACCGTTTGTGAAATCCATGGGTCCATACCAATAACCATGAGTCGTGCAGACAGGCCCTTTCTCACACTTACTGTTTTTTCTCAGTAAATCTTAAAAATGGCAAATATTACTTTGTGCCATTAGCGGAGAAACATTGTAGGAAAGAACGAGTTAGTACATGGCAAATCGCAAGTAGCATTGAAGAGGATTAATTGATTTTCAGTATGATATTAGGCGGTGGTACATTTAGCCATTCTAAAGTATGCATACATTTCCCTTCGAACACAACAAACAATAAATTTACTCACAACCTAGAGGTTTCGTAGATTCCTCTCTAAGGTTCCTCACCTATCTATAAATTTAGCATTTTACATGCAAGCAGTTTCTTGTACTATAGTATATTGTATCGTGTTTTATTGTACTATAATCGGGCAGCAGCTAAGGCTCAAGATTTTCTCTTGATAAAGAAAATCAAATTGTTACCATATGGATTCCTATAGCCTTGGAAAATCTGTATGCTTTTACTGAGTTTTAGGGTTAACTCTCTACTGATAGTTATTTCACTACACTTATTTTTCTATACAATTTGTGGAAGATGTGCAATTCCGCGCATAGAAATCCTAGTCTTCCTAACATTTACTTGATTGACACTAGTTCCAATAATGTTGTAAAGACTGCACATAATACCTGACGTCGAGCGAAACACGTTAGCTACTACCCAGTCTACGACAGATTTAATTTTCGGTAACATACGTGTCTCTTGCCAACAGGCTTTAAAATGGTTGCATATCCATCTAGACAAGACTGTGAGTTAGCTTTATACAATCTAACCACATATCTTTCAAAAGACAGTACAACAAAAACAAGAATTTTAATCTCCCATTACTCAATAACCCTTTTATTAACAGATAATATGGCCGAAAGTAGAAACTTCAGTAAGAACACATATTTCAATGAAATTATTTTGAGTAGGTTATATCCGTCCCAACAAGCGAATAGTCGCTAATGAAAGCATGTTACTCAATTTTCTGCTTTAGCATTTCTTCCGGAAACAGGAGAAGCTTATCCTTTATTTGTTACAGGTAAGCAAGCTAACATTTTCTGTATGTATAATAAATATATATACATATATGTATATTAAGCCGAGGAACTATGGTGGATTTTACTCCTTATTACATCTTGTAAAGTTTGCATATTCTAGGCACAGAATAGGATGTAAATACAATTGACTTGTTGCTAAGCCTTACCTGATAAGAAAATTTCCTAATTACAATCCCATGATATTAATCCAGTTGCAAAATGCTTCAAACTAGCTGCTATGATCGGCAGTTATTGGGCAAGAAATATAGTGGCCCATATACTACAGCAAATTAAATGCCTGATGTGTTTTGCCCGAAGGCCGTCGCTTCTATTCAAGAAAGAAATTATGTCAGAATTCGGTTTAACGCCTTGAATAGTGACATACAATCTTAATTATGGTCTCAGCCGACTCTGAAGTCAGCCTTTGCCACTTCGATTAATGGGACCGCACCTCAAGTGGAGGATTGAGAATTTGCGCTCTCCCACCACTTCACCCCACGATCAAACAGTTGCGTCCTGACCTGGATTCGTCATGTAGAGATAACCCCATATAAGTGGAAAGTTATTAACAGCATAGAGCTTAGTTATAATCCAAGTTACGATCATATTATACTTCTAGCTATTGCACTTGTGTAACCTAGGGCTGCATTTTTCAGTGGCGAGCAGCATTTTCCAAGTGATGCACCAATATCCCAGTCCACATATATCAAACTGGATTTTGTTAGAACACTGCGGATTGTTGTCGTTAGCAAACTAATAAGGCGTCTTACATTGTAGTTGACTATGATTTCTAACACACATAATAGTTGAAACTGTAGACGTAAAAACTGTTGACGTAAAATTATTTGGTAGCATCTGCATGTTGCGGTACATTTTACCTTATTTAGACCCCATGAAAGGGGTCAAATGGGCGTGATCAAAATCAAATTAGAAAAGTGTACCAAATGCCGTAGGTCAGAGGTTTAGCCAGACGTTTAGAAGGAAAATAGTCAAAAGATTTATGCATGCCAAGTAAGTTACATTAATTCACAACGTGTGAATCGGTAATTAGGCCTAGAAATACCAGGTAATAATGTGGTCCACAACCCTCAGTTGCGGAATCCATGCTGTGCAAGTATCTTAATTTTTGAGCAATTTAAAAGTTAAACTTCTTGATGTTTATGGGGTGCACTGTAATTCCTGGTAAATTAGACATATGCTCAATGGGTATCGGGATAACATCACTTTAAATAGCGCATACGTTTCGTGGTAAAGTATTATTACGGCCTTCTTTCACTGAGCCGGAATGGCACCAGAAGCCATAACCAAGGCGATTATATTCAGCAGAATGGGTGGGATGTCGTCTTTAACGAGGCTTATAGTAGCAGATGGTGGATTGTCCGAATTAGCAAAATAATAGACTGAGAAACGTCATAAGCTTTCGTTATTGCATAGTTCGATTAGAGTGTTGTTGTTTTGCTCGCTGTTGCCATTCTACGGATTCCAATTCACAGTAGATTTGCTGAGCAAATGTGCGAAATAGCTGTATAAAACTCCATCCATTCAAATCGAACTAGTTTTATTGCGTATGTCCTGTGAAAAGGGAGACTGCGTCAATGTGCGTTTAGCACATTTTCGTTTCAACATTATAATTAGAACGTACCTTCGCTTCTGAGCACTAAGCACTTAGTTTTCATTCTAATTTTAGTGACCTGAGTGGTACTAACCAATGTTATAACCAAGCACTATTGTTATGCCAAGGAAGAGTAGCGATTCGATTGATGATATGCCTCGAGTGGCTTTCCGAGCTTCACAGCAGATTGGTGTCCCTTGTGTTCGTTGAAATGATGGCTAGTTTTATCACAACTATTAACCTACGCATCTAGATAGCGGAAAGATAGTCAGATAGCCTGGCTGAGAAAACATGCTAGTAATTAGTGAAGAAGGACGTTTCATTTTTCAAGATTTTCATTAAGCAAAAGCATCGATGAGTAAGCAGTTCCACAAGGTCTTAAGCATAGGCGTAATTTCGTGAAATCGGTTGTTGCACTTAGCCGCTAACACCGGATGTGAGCCAGAGCCCTCTGACCTTAACTACCATGGAAGTGCTTCATAACGTCGACGGAAGTTTATTTCAGTCCAACGGTTAAAATCAAATCCAAAGTACAATTCGTCCTAGTCGAAGACACGTGTTGATCCCATCCAAGTAGATGGATAGGGGAGTGGAGGCTTTTAGCAAGTTTACAGAAAATCATATTGAATTCCCTCCAGATAATCTTGCAGTCCACCAGTTGGTCTTCAATATAGCATAAACGCTCAGTAAAGCTGCACAACTTCATCGGACAAAAATGCGTCTAATATCCAGGTGAATTTCCATGAATGAAAACTCTGGGGCTCCACTATTTTTAAAAACGGGCAATATAAAAGCGAGTACAGTATTGTGAACATAGATGATGTTGCCACTATCTAATCCTGGCTAACTACAATGGGTACACATTTGCAGCATAGTTCCTGTAGACAGATAAAAAGTTTGAACAAGAAAATTTGAAGACGAACAATGTAGGTTGATACTATTTCGTGTTAGTTGTTGACACGCGAACTAACAACGTATATAGATCATTTGAGAGAAGAAAACGATGGTCATGAATTGGTCCGAAAAGGGGACAAGCCTACACCAAACTCGATATGGTTGAACTAGTGCAAGGGTCATGAACCCAAGGCGTATATCCCTTACGCTTCCATGGGGGTAACGACCGTTGCTCAAGTCCAACCATCTGTACTTTGGTGTCTGCATGTTTCTTTTCTGACCAATTCATGACTATCGTTTTCTTCACTCAAGTGATCAGTTGATTTTGAACACATAGTGTAGGACAGCACCGATTGTAGGTCACACCATCGACAAGCGTTGCCTGATGACAAGGTTGTTTCCTTGAGCCCGTAGAATATACAGTTGCGACTGTGTGAATTTGAAATTGTCGTCCATCACAGAGATATTACGGGCTTATAGACATCCATAAGCCTTCATCAGATTTCAGTGTCACCCGAAGAAAACAAACCAAGGTTAATAATTGTGCCCTAAATGCCTGTCGATTTACAACTGCAGTTAAACGGCAATGCAGTGAACGCGCAACGTAAAAGACGGGCGAACACAGCTATATGCCGCACATTCAACGCTGCCAAACTCTGTCTAATCTAGATAAACAGAAAGTTGCCTCCAATCAAACCTACTAAACGGGTAACCACCAAAACACATTGATTTACCAATTCCAATTTGAAATAAGAAGCAGTTAAGTTGGCAGTACAGATCGTTGTCTGAGTAAGCGGATTAGAGATTATATTCCAAAGCGATTTGTTAAACTGATGACACAACTGGTCGAGGATTAGCATGCAAATTGCCCCATTCATCCATCGTTAGACGCACAATCAATACAGGTTATCAAGCTTGCCCCGACTCAGTATTTAAGGTTGTCTATGCAAATGAAAATTCCAGGATGCTGAAGTTTCCCTGCGGTCGTGACTCATAATCAATGCTGTCCTACTCTTTAGGTACAAAAGCAAGTTGCAATAGTCCTTTGATTTTCTTGGGGTTTATGACTTTTGCCCCAACTCAATCATCTGTTTTGTTGTGTCTGCGTGGCTCTCTGAGAATGAGACTGAGACTGTATTTAAGAGCAAGTAGAAAGGTTTCTGTACAACTCTATCAAATTACAAAAAATCAAAATTTACTTGTGAATTATCAGCACTTGTGTCTGGTCCGTTAATCGTTTATCCGTGTTCGGTTAGAAATTTGTACTAGCGTCATTATTTCCGGACATATAATGTCTTCTTTTGACACTGTATGTGCATGGTTTCACAAAAGCACAGGTTTCCAAAATAATCGTCGATACGGGTTTTAAAACACTTCACAGAGTCGGCCTCTATTAATCCTTCTGGTAGTGTATTCCATAAGTTTACGATTCTTCGTTCGATACAAAGCTGATGTGATACTTTGTTCATGCTGGGGACCCTGAGTTTGTAACGATGTCCTCGGGTGTTACAGGGTTCTCGCAGGTGAATTATTGGCCGCAGTATGGGGAAGTGATTCAAGTGTAGTACTCGATGGGTCATAATAAGATCAATTCTTACTCGGCGATAGGATAGTGTGTAGAGTCCGAGCTTTTCTGATTTATTCAAAACACAATAAGTAAACACTAGGTAGGAGCATTTGTCAGCCAAGCGTTAAAAGGACTGGGCAAATAGAGTGGATGCAGAAGGGAAAAGTATGTGATAAATGTTCAAGACATATGGATAAAGAGTACTGCTAGAAAGATGTCATCCCAAAAGAAACCGAAAGGCTTGTTTGGAACAAGTGAGAAGGCAATAACTTGGTCATACTTGATCAGCGATCGAGCACCAAAGCAAGAGAACGTGTGCATTAGCTCCATGACTTATGATGTGCAATGGCTAAAGCCGCATCAGATATACCAGCAATGGTTACACTTAACAACAGCAACCGTCTAGTAATGTTCCTCACCACTTGGTTATTTAAAACATTACTCCCTAGTGGATGACTTATTTATTTGGCTGATCAAACGTAATTAATATTAGTATTTATTTTCCGTAAGTGAACAAAGGCAATGACTAATAAGCAGATAGCTTTTAAACTTTTTGTGTGGTAATTGTTTATTGTGAAGCCGTTTTTTGGTTAACAACAACAGAAAGATTGAGAACCGTTGCCTATGATTTTGGATGCTAAACGTTAAAGTCTCTTTACCGACACTTGCGTATGAGTCCAAAGAACAAGAGACCGTAGGTAAACAACTGTTTTCGATGATTCTCTTCAGACCATTACAATCATATTTAAGGGTAAAATAATGAACTGAAATTGACTCATTGTCTCAAATTACATAGTTACTTAAGGGATCAATGAGGGAGGCTAAAATTTGATCTTTGTACTGACAGGTCGATTGCATGTTATCGAGCTTGATCTGTGGCAATCGACCTCAGCATCGTTGGTTATAGCTGGCCAGAGAAGCTGTAAGGCATGAAGCAAATTGCGTATGACATGGGAATGGTTGAGCAAATATCTGTATTCGGTAACCAATAGTGGATACATGATTTTACATAAACTAAGACGTAGTCATCGTTTTACAACACATTCAAGGTATCATTTTCCAGGTTATCCATTATGGCTTGCTTTCTGATAAACGAGACAAGAAAACTCCTTGGTACTCAAAACATGTATGACAATATGGGAAGTGACTTAGCGAACTTTAAACAAAGGTCACGCCGACGCGGTTAGGGATGCGATCGGTTCAATGTAAAAGTAGCGAACGATGTGCCCTTGTGTGTCAGTGGCTGTGTGCATGTATCATTGCTTGCTGCACAAACCAGCTAACTACGCAACACTAGGAGGTATCAAGCAATGTTTCCATCGCGAAGCAATTCCCGATATCCAATATGTCTGGGCTACAATGTTAAATGATAACGCAGTACAGTCAATGCCGGCCTGAAGTGAAAACGACTTGTGGGAAACCAACCTCTCCATAAGCGCCACTGATCAATCAGTTACAGTAACACCTAATGCGCAAGCAATAGGTTGTTTTACTTATCAGTTTGATCCAATCAGGATATATACTGATATTCAGTGCACCTGAAATAAATAAAGGTTTTATCTATCGGCGGTGCGAGGCACAGCCCAAGGGATTGATCCGCTTAACTTGAACAACGTGATGACATAAAATATTAATTTTTCCTGTTTTGTACAATGGATCCCAGAAGGGTTTGTTGAAGTGCTTAGCAGTTTGAAATTATTAGGGATGTTAAGGAATTTTGAACAATAACGAATGTAGATTTAACCAACGTTCAAGTAAATTATTAAGACCATCCAGGGAACTGACACCAGGGAACCTGCTTCTATGTAGGGTAATCCCTTAATAGGTCTAATCTATATTTCCTTGCTCCAACTAACGCCATGCAGCTGTGACAACATAGTAAATAGGCCATAACTTGTGCAACAAATGCTTTCTGCCCTAAGGGCTGTTTACGCATGCATTGTTGGCGATAAAGCCCTAGGCTGTTCCGCTATGCGGATTCAACAAGTATGACACCATTTACTATAAGCCAGGCAGTCAACGGAAATTGTCAAACCTTTGCTTTTTTATCCGTAGCATACCATTTTTCCATTGTTCCAAGATGTGCACAATATTATTAGGTTGTAGGTTGCAATTCATAAGCTAAAGAGATCAGCCCAGTCGTAAACAACAATGAACTAAAGAATAATATATAGTAGGAGGAAGAAAAGAAACATAGTATTAAATACAATCGTTTGCCAATAGACCAAACACAAGTTGATGGAAAAGCTTGGTGCGTGACGATGTTGGTACAGAGACAACAGCTAGAAAGGCTTAGTGCGTCGCCGAACCAGTGAATCAAACAAGAAACAAACTGGGTTAAACGGATTGTTAGCGGTGGGGTTGTTTATAGATAATAATATATGCTTCAACTATATTAGATAAAAGTATAGTATTGAAACATTAAGGGTATATGGCTAACTGGTAGTGTATTCAGGACGTTTCGCATACAAATCATCTAGTTATCTTTTGGCTGTGTTCATCAGAGCTTTAAATTTTTCACGTGAACATTAGTCATGCATCGATTGAGTTTGTCTTACGTAGTGGAACGGTGCAATATAAATGTCGGTTTCTGCGTACTCCATTGACATAATAAACGTTCAACGAACTGTAGCAAGGTATTTTGTTCCCTAATTTACCTCAACTCCTTTTGAGGTACCTACTATGTACCTTGCGAATACAAACTAATCCACAGAAATTAATAAGTATCTATTATAAAGAGAGTTGGATAGTAGCTAAAACATAGTATAGTGTTATAATAACACACATAATCTCGCATAAAGCATTGCTAATGAAATTTAAGCACAAAAACCAATATGATGAAATTTTATTGATTTAATGGATTATCCTTTAACGACATATTTGGAGTCGCGGTAATAAGCCGCTGAACAGTCGCGAAATTTGTGCTACCGTGTCTTTCAATCAGTTGTTCACTTGAGTACTTATTAAAGTACTGTATAAGCTGGCACTCGACAGTCTCGATGTTACAACTATATAGGTATTGCACTTAAAATTTTGGAAAAATCGGTTTGCATATAAGTACATTGCTGACGATTTATCCTCAGGCCAATACTGCAGAATTGTGAAAGTAATAAAACGAACTGTGAACTAAGTGACTTGGAAATTAAGTTGTCAAGAGGAATGACTGCAGTTTGCTCTGTTCACGCACAGAGCATGTTCATGCACAGAGAACAGCTGTCAACTGTAGAGTCAACTCCTTAGCAAACGGACACTGAACACATTATCAGGATTGTTGAGAAGAATCGCTGTCTTCTGAATTGATTTAAGGATACCTTTATTGATATCTCTAGAATGGACATCATCTAAAGAAGAGCCTAAAAAAAGCTTCGGTGAAAAGGCTTAGATGATTTGTTTGGATTACGAAAGAGTAGTAAAAGGACTTGATTGGTATCCGTTTATCCTCTCCACAAACAGTCAGACAGCCGTCATACATCGGGAAAAGCACTGTGAGGTCGTTTTATCCTTTCAAATATCCTCTGACGTTTCACGTTCGAGTTCCACATATGTTATATAAAATGCGAACCGTTGTCTATTTTCGAAAGAACGAAACGAACATACAGGGTTTTTCCAGGTGTATGATTGTTGTCTGACTTAGTCTAGCTGCAATGAACTAATTATACCATCTGGGAATGCATGTTTTGTTCGATAATCGGCCTAGCCGCTTGCAGATAGACCTAATAAAGAAATAAATAAATAAACGTTTTATTCCTCAGCAGTGCTAGGCACAGACCAATTGGGTGGTCTTATCAACATTTTTTGATATGGTGAAGACTGGCGCATCGTGTATATTGTTTGTAAGGAATACTCTAAAATGACCATATATACAGATATTAAGATAGCCTAGCGAGTGTGGTGGGCATTCCAAAAGCGACAGTCGTCCTCACTGGATGAAGTGAACGCCACGAGATCGAGACATGAATATGAGTTCTGAGACGCGTAGGAAGATAAGCAAAAAGCAACAGTTTTTTGAGTTTGAAGTAAAATCAGAAGCGCGCAATGGCTAACTCGGTCGGTGTTAGTGGTAATGATAAAAACGGTGGTTGCATGAAACAGCAGCCCTTGGAAGCTGTACACATGGACAATGGGTTGGGCCGTTGTTACGGAGGGGAGAAGATTATGGCTTTGGCTATCGTGGGTAGACAAGGGCGCTGCACAATATGACCGGGGCATCGGAGCAAGCGCTCGATCGAATCATTGGAGAGCGCTAAGAAAAAGGGCTACGGCTTCGGTCTTCATATTTCACTGCATGCTGCCGTGAGAAGACAAAGCCGGTCAGGTACCTATTCGAATTGAGACTGTGTTTGGAGTTTCGAATTGGGACTGAGGTGAGGTCGCGGCTGATTCAATGCATCCAGCACCATCAGCTGGGGACGAATCACACTCTGTTTGGAATGGGGGACAAAGCAAGGCGCTTCGAATGCGGTCGACAAAGGCCGGCGGACACAATTGCTCACCGGCACTACACTCATTGTTGCTGTGGTTGGTTGCAGGTGGAAGGAGCTGCTCAGAGAAATTTGATGATGCGGTGGGGGCGGAAGTGGGTTTGCGGCTGTCAGTTGATACTTGGGATAAAAGTGATGCTGAGCACCCTAGCCGTGGGGTTGATTCGATTTTCCGTTCAACTCTCTGTGTGTCACATTCACATGTCCTGTTTCAATGGTTGCTGATCTGCCGACTGTTGTGTTCACCGGTTCGTATATGGTGGATGAATTCAGTTTGCCGTGAGGATACTTTAGCTTTGAGTCACCGTTGAACCCATTATTTGCGTGCAGTTTCTTCCGCCCAGTCGGCCGGAGATTGAAGACCCTGCACTTCCTCCGGGATCGGGGACAAGTCGAACTGAAGGAATTTCAAATACGCTAGCTGCAGGAGGTAATTCGGAAAGCGCTTGCACGGGTAAGCGCATGGAATTGCTAAAATACCTGTGCTTCAGAGCGTCCGCGGCGGAAATGCGTCGGGATCCTTGAAACACCAGTAGACTGGACAAAAGAGTATGCGCTCGGCGCGAAAGGCAGGGTGCCGGATGGAGCAATCTGTTTAGTTCCCCAGGATAAGGACCGTATTTTAGAGCCTTGCTATAATCGGGGTGATCTGGTATCCCGGGCCAGGTCTCTTCCGTAGGTGTCCCTAGCCGCATGAAGATCAACGTCAACTCTTCCTCGACCTTGGAACCAGGAAACAGGGGCCATCCGGTGGCCATTTCATTGAAAATACAACCGACACCCCACATATCGATGTGCGTGGAGTATTCAGTAGAACCAAGCAGTATGTCGGGCGGTCTGTACCGCAACGTCAGCACTTCGTTGGAGTACGTCTTGATTGGGATCGATTTCGCCCGTGCCAGCCAAAAATTGGCCAATTTCAGTTCGCCACGGTCCGTGATGAGCAGATTTTGTGGTTTCAAATCACGATGTAGGATGCGACCCCGATGACAGTATTGAAGTCCCCGTAGGAGTTGATAAAGGAAGAGCTGCAAGTTGTCAGAGTAGACAATTCCATGGCAATCGTGTAGGTATTGTTTGAGATCCCGCTCCACGTATTCAAATACCAAAGTCAGAGACTTTTCCGTATGGATGATATTGTGCAGCGTGACAATATTGGCATGTTAGAGGTTTCGTAACAGGCCAACTTCACGGATTGCAGTGCATGGAGCTCCCTCTTCGTGCTTCAAACAGACCTCCTTGAGGACCACCAGAGTTTCGGTAAGCAGGCTACGACCTTTATACACCGTTGCGTATGTTCCTTGTCCTAACATATCTAATTTGGCGTATGATTCCAGTTTGCCGAATCCAATTTTTTCAAGCGTCGAATTAACCGGTTCATCTTTTTCTACTGAAAAAGATGGTGGCAGTGCGGGACAATGTAACCATCGGAGAGCGTAAACTGGTCTCTGAGCTTCGAGTGACTGAATTTTTGCTTTATACTGTTAAGCATCGTGGCGCAAGTAAGGCGGTAAAATTAATGACTGGATATAAAAGATGAACAATGGTATCTAGTTCTCGGTTTTATCATTGACGGGGTCCAGTAGAAACTAGACAGGCAAATTATGCAGAAATTTGCCCCGGGGAACGCGCCAACAAATCCACCAAAAATACAAGAATACATGGAGCTGAAGTAATCCAATCCATCAACGCGAGTTGCAGCACATCAGCAATATGAATGCGGAGAAGAGTGAGGTACACCTTCACGAACTTAAATCACTCAAGTGAAAATCAAGAGTGCGCGCCGCATAATATTAACAGAGAGATGTGGTCTGACTCATGTAACTTTCCTACAAGACAGATAAATTAGTGCAAACTAACTTCAACATTATCCACTGGGAGGCTATTTCTCAGCTGGAGATGTAGCATAGATGGGGAAGTAAGGGTGATGCTCAAATTCGCCGCGCAATGCGTTTTCAGTGTCCACCTTCTAGCGTTTTCTATAATATTGCGTTTAAATAGTTCGATTTTCATGCGTTCATGATAACTTTAATCATATATGAGTGTCTAATGTATCCGCTTGCGTGAAGTATGTACACCATTGGTCTTATGTATCGCTCTACATGCAGTTTGGATGCAAACTCACAAAAGTAAGCTCCTTAAGATTGCTGAAAAGAGTTTGTCTGAACTGAGCCAGAATGGGACCACTATCTTTGATTACTCATGTTAAGTTAAAATTTTACTTACACCATCCTTTGATATTTTAAACCGGAGCGTTGGATTGAGGAAACAGATAAATATAAATAGCAAATATCTTAGGAATGCAAAATCAGGCGGCGATAACCAATCTGGTGCAGATCAACCCGAGCTGTTCCGTCATGATATAGTGCTTCTTTAATTTGAAGTTCTCATAATTGCAAACTCCAAGCGGCGAACCATATCTATAATGCGAAAACCAGAAAATATGTGTCATAGATATGCTCAACCAAAATGTTCTTCAAATTGGACATTAGTAATCCGCATACAGTGTACGCATTTTGTAAACTGCCGTTTCGAATAACTGTATGTAAAATCAAAGGCAAATGTGAAAGATGTTTACATAGTGTTATTTAAGCATAAATGGAGTTCAGAAACCGCCTAAACCTCCTACGAGGGATGCGTCTTTCCATGTAACCATACAACTATTTTGACATTCAGATAAATGAGTTCTTTGGTGGATGCAATTTTTAATCTTCATGAAACTGTGTTTTGAAAAGTCTGTGCAATATATTTGCAGTTGCGTATAAAATACGAGTGAGTTTTTACCCATGAAACCGCAACGGTATCAATTTAAAACACTTTGATAACAGACGTTTGAAGCAAATGCACAGTACAGTGCTATGCCAGATGAATTCGGAGCAAGCATGAACCACGAAAAATTAAAACTTCTGTTAAGTGTTGCTGATTTGGCATTGTCTCACGTTCAGTAGCCAAACGTATGTTTAGTTTGGATAATTGGTGGTAGCCATGATCGGTAGCGAACAATCCACAAACGCTTCTACATGAGATACAATTGTCGCAGCTGGCTAAACAAATTCAACGATAAATTAGTAAAATTTGTTTTAATCATAATTCAAAAAATAATGTCTTTTTGCTGAACGCTGAACGTGCTGAACGCTTTTGTGCTACTGTGGAATTACGACAAGAAACTATGGATTGATTAACGGAAATTTTGTAGTGCGTAAGTCTATAGATTCAGATAGTTATCACACATCTTGAAACCACTGAAGATCTGTTTTAACCCGTGTCTTTTGTGGAAACAGTAAGTGAAATGCTTCGGTCGATATTTTGCACTTATGTTCAGAGTGATACGGAGCAACAAATAGGCATATGTTATTAACCAGATGAGAGTTTGCACGAATGACAACTTACAGACCTCTATGTGACGGGATTGAAGATCAAGGAGATACCAATCCTGAATCACCAGTTAGCTAGTAGCATTAATGGACAATGGACAATCGACAATGGACAAGGGTTTATTACGGGTAAAAAAGCATCGCTTAACAAGTCCCGTGGGATGGAAATTATTGCGAAAATCAATTGCATAATAAAGTGAAAAGCGTTGTGATGGACTCACCATAGACTTATGTAGAATAGCGGAGATGTTCGCATATTAACCGTATAAATCCATAAATCCAATGGTTGGGCGTTTGGCTAGAAACCGTTTGATTGCGTTTTGTAGCCTCTGGCTAACAAGACATAAAATGAAATGTAAATGAGGCAATGCATGGTCAACACGTTTTTTTAATATAGCCAGATTGGGAGCAGAGACGACATAATTAGGGAGGGCATTCCAAGGCTGACACACGCGGAGAGAAAAGAAATTTCTACGGCATTCAAGCCGGCTATAATGAATTGTCAGTTTCAGAGGGTGACCTCATAGTTTAGTGTTGTGGTTCAATTCCAGCAGCGGACGGCAAATGTGGTTTGGGTTCTTCAGAATCTGGTAAACCATTATGAGATCCCCCCGCAAAAGCCGATATCGACTGCTGTAGATTATTAGAGATTTCAATCTAAGCTGATAGGGCAGATGAAAGAGGCCCCTGACGTTCTTGGTTGCCCGTCGTTGAGGAGTCTCGAGAGCAACGAGATCCTGTTTCTGTCACGGCTGCCACGCCTGAATAGCATATTCCACCTGAGGTTGCACGTAGGCGTTAAGCATTTGGGGAAATATTTATGGTTCAAACCGACCGAAGGCTTTGCGAAGAAGGCCGAAGTGTTGATTTCCGGTTCTCCTCGCCTTCTGTGCTTGTTTTGAACACCCGAGATCCTGTACCAATACACCCAGGTCATGCTCCTGAGAAATCTTCGCCAAGCTGTGGTCTCCAATCTTGTAAGCGCTCACCAGCTGGTGACGCAGATGTATCACCTTGCACTTAATTCTGTTCGCGTGAAGTATGCTCCTCTTTGACCACTCTTAAAGGCAATCTAGGTCATATTGGAGCAGATCGTGATATGGCTTGTTACTAATCGCCCGCCATATCTTGACCTCATGGGCGAAAAACAGGAAATTTGAGGAGATGACTCTTGCCAGGTCGTTGATAAACACCAGGTATAAGCGCGGTCCCAGCACTGAGCCTTGTGGAACAACACATTCCACCTCAATTGGGTTAGAGAGTGAGCCCCTAACACGTACTTGAAGCTTCCGTTGGTAATGAAACTGCCAATCCAACCAAGTACAGGATCACCGATTCCGTAACTCTGTAGCCGTTGAAGTAGGATGCGGTGATCAAGGCGGTCGAAAGCTTTGGAGAAGTCCAGATAGATGACGTCGACTCCGACCCCATCATCGGCCACTTCCGTCCAACTACCTCGTGCAATAAGTAGGTTGGTGGTGCATGACCGGTGTTGACGAAAGCCATGCTGTTCCGCTACCAAGATGTTGCAATTTTCCAGGTAGTCCTTTAAAGCCTCAGCGACGACTGCTTCCATCCCCTTCGCTAGCACAGGGAGGAGAGTCACTGGACGATAGTTTGCAGGATCGGAACCGCTACCGCCTTTAAAAATAGGGGTTATAATGCCACACTTCCACATAGTAGGGACTTGTTGTTCATCAAAGCACCTTTGGAAGAACTGTGACAGTGGTTAGGCTAGCTTGGTGGCCACAGGCTTCAGTGCCTTCGGGCGGATGTTGTCTGCTCCCGGTGAACTATGTTCACGCAGTGAGAGTAACTTCCTTAGCTAAATTGATGGGTTGAAAATAACATTTGTAACCAAATGTGTCGGTAATGAGCTTGATATTATGGGACAAGTAGATGTTGCGAGTTCAAAAATTGGGGCGTAATGCAGCCGCAGGGCATTAGCTGCTTCTTCGGCGCTTTGAACTTTACCGCCTGTCGTGAATAGTGGGGTATTCCATGCTTCACTTTACAAAGCTTATTGACATGCTTATACAGCAGTTTGTTGTTTGCCATGAACTTTTTGGCTAGGCACTGTTGATTAGTTATTTATGTCCTCACGGACAAGTGCGGTGCAATGGTTGCGATGGGCCAGGAAATTTCCCCAAGTCTCTGAGTCGGGGTTAATCTTGTAGGCACGCCATGCTGCATCCCTTATCGCCAGGCATTTGCTAGTCCTACTCCTTATAATTGAAGGCATTTTCGCGGGACGACGGGGTTTGGTCTCTGATGCTTTGTTGACGATGTCGCTGAGCTTATTAACGAACTCTGCCCAAACGTTGTCAAGGGGACTTTGTTTGAGAATTCCCAAGAAGCTGCGTCGGCGAGTTCTTTCAATACGTGGTAGCGTGTGATTGTATGAGTTAGTTCCGAGTGTTCAGATGGATACTCTGCATAACACACATAGTCAAAAGTTATTACTACGTGGTCTCTGAGACCTAATGGACTATCCATCAATAACTTGTCAATCATGAGCTCTTCATCTGTGAGCACAAGGTCCAATATGGACGGTTTGTTTGCTGTCCTGAATCTAGTGAGAGTGGTGACATGATTGTATAAAGGAATATTAGCGATCAGTTCCTGCAAGTCTGCTTTGAACTGC